TTAACACACCTTTCCACTTGTTTTGCTTTACTAGCGTGCTTAAACCTGCACACTTAAGCTATCTTTTGGAGATTATTTTGTCTGCCATGGATAAATTTGGTTGATGTTTAGCCTGTTGTGCTTAACATGCCTCTCGATGTACCTACACAGGACAATTTTGGGAACGACTACTATTTTCCATCGAGGTTAGTTTCATCCATGCCTTATATATACTTACTGTTCAGGATATCGGTAGCTGGTACCATATAGGCCCGGGGCTGGTAAGGGACTAATCGATGAATCGGACTTTTAACTGAATATATCTATAACCATTTATCGTTAGGTTAACTAGGGCCATATGTAATATATCTGAGGCTATAGCAACATGCACTGTACCTAATGTCTAAATATGCAATTCTAGGCTACATAGCAACAAGGAAGAGTGTTGCCTTAATGTTCTGATGATGTCTAGATATACATAGAAGAGCAGCAGCAACAACAACAACAACAACAACAACAACAACAACAACAACAACAACAACAACAACAACAACAACAACAACAACAACAACACAGCCATGTTTGGGTACTCAACTTAGCTAGAGGTTAGAGTTAGTTTCTAGCTCATGACTAACCCCGAACTAAATCCATACAAAGAGGTGTTTGGATTATAGGGTTAGATTGACAATAAATGCACTAGGAGAACTAGCTCCAATTAGCACCTCTTATGTTGGATAGTTTTTTTGGGCGGGTTAGATGCAACTAGCTCAAACTAGCCCTCATGTTTGGATATACATTAGGGCTATTTGAGCCCGAACTAGCTCAAACTAACTCTAACCCATGGATGCAATAGCAGTTAATCAGCCGATAATTTGTAAGAATGCAATAAACTCCATCCGGCCCATAATATAAGATGTTAATTCATCTAATACATGAGTATATTGAATGTTATAAGATATTATAAAAGAGTGTTGTACTACATCATTGTGCAATTGCTGTTTAGCTTCTAATATTAACTTGGTGCTTTTAGGTACATATGTCATTGGTAAAGATCTGCGCTTCGACCCTTTCTGCGTATGGGGAAATGAGATATCAATGAACTAGCATCAAGTGAGGAAGCTGATAAAAATTGTTAGTAAAATTGCTCAAAAGATGGCAATTAAACTATTTGTTACACTTTATCCAAGACAACAACGAACTGCAAGATGGTAAGTAAGAACTCTGCAACCTTCTTTTTATTGTCCATAATGAGTTGTGTTAGATGACAATGTCTGAATCTTTTTCCTTTGAAGTGGTTGCCAAAGCAGTTTACTCAAGATTACCTCTCAAACTACATGATTGGTGGGCATGCAAAGGTTAAAGTATTTCTACCAGAACACGATGAATATCTAGATGTTTTCATGAAGACCGTGAAGGATGGGCGGTCAGCCATCACAAGGGGTTGGACTAGAGTCATGTGTCCCTTCTGCATGGAGGAAGGCACAATATGGACATTTTGCTTCACCTTATTTAGCAACCAGAATGTATTTCGCCTCTTTCTTTACCTTCTTTCATAGTACAAGTATACAACTATGGTTCATCATTCTTTATTTGGTTCTTATGTAATTCTTGAACATATGTACCTATGAATCGAATAATGCATTGATTGTTTGCACCTGATGGATATGAATAAAGCTATAGCATACATTCAAATTCAAATTCAAATTTGGTACAATTTTAAATAGCAACAATTAAGTTACGGTGAAATTACACTCTCCAGGTCGTTACGGCACACACGGGTTGGTAAAAAACAAACGTTTGCGATGTACACCATAATCCGACATGGTTCACAGAGAGGAAACGTGTGCAAGCATGCACACAGTTATCGTTTGCAAAATGTGTGCGATGTCAGACAATATCACAAATGGTGCGTGCAAACTAAACGTTTGTGATACTTGCCTTATTGTACACGATTCGCAACCATGAACTGTTTCTGGTGAAATATGCATCGTAAACGTTGCACCACAGAATAGCGTGTGCGATAGTCATCGTGTACGACGATGTTACGACGGTTCGACGTTTCGTAATCCTATCCGACACTCGACGATGATTAGCTAATCTTCTTAATTAGTTGTCGCATACGGTTTGGGAAAATCGAATGTGTGTGATTGTATGCTTATCAGACACGTCCTATAATAGTGAACCGTTTGTGATGGGCCGCGCATCGTAAACGTAGCACCACAGAATACCTACTGCAATGGCAATGTGAGCACAAACGAGTAGGAGTAATGTATATGCATCTTGGCTCCCTATCCCCGACGGTTTCTGAGTCATGTGGGAAGGATCCCCCTATCGCCCACACTCACTTGGCGACGGTTCCAAATGCCGTCGCAGAAAGGGGTTAAAACCCGTTTGTATAGCACCGACGCGTACCAGTGATCCTCAACTCTGGTATAGGGCCCCGGATACACTTCATACACTCAAAGTCGAATATGTCCTTGTTTAAGAATTCCGCGTCCTCAGGGTACCTCTGGAAACAAGAAACAACAATAAAACATAATTACATCGACGAATGAGCATACGGTCTAACTGGGTGCAACCTTAAATGAAATATCATTTACCTTAACTGGTCCTCATATTCCTTATGTGGGAAATTTATTTTTGGATTGTCAGGAAGTAAAGGCCTACCAGTAATGCGGGAACTCATATGTTTGAATTCAACAATCCTATCCGACCTTCCACACAAACGGAAAATTTCTTGCTGAATTTCCTTTGGGTTCCTTTCCGGGCACTTCTCTGGGAGCCCGGGCAACATGCAAGGGGGAGGGGGGGGGGGTTATAGAATGAGGGTAAGGGGTTGGGGGGAAATTGGGCAAGAAGAATGGTGAACGGAGAAAGAAAAAAAAGGACTCTCCGGTCACGAGAAAGCCAAAGAATACACTTCGACCTGGTTTAGGCCGACATGCAACTTCGGCCTTCCGTTTACACGAAGTGGTGGGCTTCGACCGTCGAAAACTGAAGAGGTCTCTTCGACCTTGAGCGCCGGTTTTCAGTCTAAGGTAGACCGAAATACACTCTTCGGCCTAAGCATGGCCGAAGTGTACTAGTTCGGTCTAAGGGAGACCGAAAAGCTCCTCTTCGGCCTTAGCGAGGCCGACGGAGTCATACTTTAAAATTTTAAAAATTAGGGCATATATTTTTCGAATTTGTTAAAAAACATTTTAAAAAATCCATATATGAAACCAAACTCCAAGTTGTGATTCTCGTTAGCTGTTCAAGTGGCCCCGTCCCTGGCCTGAGCCAGCTACCGGCCAATCTATGCATGCAGCCCAATCACTCGAGACAGCTAAACCTTTGTAGCCTTGTCCAGCTACTAGACCCCAGCCAAGGACGAGAACATGAGATCGGGTCAGCACGACGCAAAGGAAAACCACCTTTTTCGAGTCCTTTTATTTTACTCCTATTCATCATTGGAGTACCGTGCCCACGTAGTTAACGATAAATATGGTGAACTAGCACTTGAAATCTCTCACCAACGGGAAAAAAATAGGAGTAGGTACATAGAGTGGGAAGCAAGAAACGCCAAAAACGGGAGAAGAGATTCCGTTCCGTTCCGTTCCTTGTCTTGTCCTAACCTACCACCCGTCCGCTCCGAGGCTGACCAACGGCAGGAATCTTGTTTCCGCGGCTGTTCACGCCGTCACGCCAGATTCCCTTGAATCTTCCTCCCAGCTCAGTTGGCGCCACAAAGCTTTCTTCATTCGCAGTGGTCGGCACTTGGCACCACAACCGCATGCCTGCACATCCGTGGTTCACGAGAGCACCCAAAATCGACGTGTACGCCTAGGAAAATCCACTGATAATCACTCGTTCTGATTAAATATTCTGTGGTTCGCCTGCCGTGTCACGTCCTTGTGGGCGCGTCCGCATAGCTGCGGCGTGCACGTCTCGTGTCTCGCTGCCATGGCTCGTACGTACGTATACGTGACAGAGCCCAGCAACAGCGACCAAGCCACGGTACCGGACAAAGGCAGAAGCCACCGTGCGTGGTTCACTGCTTTGCCCGGACGGACAGAACGGAACACCAACCCAGAAACGATCACGATCAACCCCTTTTATTTCGACTGAAACGTCTCCTTTATCCCGCGTGTACCCATCAGTGGAGGGATCAATGGTGAGCGAGCCTTGTTAATTACTAGTAATAATTTGGGTGCACGCAGGCACGTACGTCACGCAGGCCCGGCCGTGCGGGGCCTCTGAGAGATCGAGATCTCCGGTCCGGCTGACGAGCAAGAGGCGTGTCGTGCGGCCGGGCGATAGGATTGAGCTCACGTCCCTTTCCGACCGGCACTGATTGATTTTTTTTCACTGATCTGGCTAAGCAAGAGAGATAAGTATGTGCAATGTCAGTATAGTATATCCCAAAGCTAACTATCTCCATCGACCGGTTTCTAGGTTTCGTGCCACGATTTGGTACGCCACCTCCATCAGTTTCCTACCGACTTCCCTCGTTCTTATCTACACATCTTGTGAAACTTGACCGGAATGATCGAGGTTTCTAGTTAGTACTCCACTTGGGAGGAGGCGTATGCATGCAAAGCCATTGTTGTTAATCCACGCTGATGTGAACGACGGTAAAATCAACCATATCAACAGCCAGGGTTTGCACAAGTTCAAGAAGAGGAAGAATGCACAAGTTCCTGATTATACCATGACCAACAAATTAACACACCAACATAATCATAATTACACAGGTTTTAACCACCACAAAAAAGCAAGAAAGCCCCACGTAAAATGTACACATACGGTGAGGAGACCGGTCCATCGAAAGAATAACAAATGTTCCATGCGTGTACGTTTGCATGCGTGGTATGCATGGCAAGTGCAGTGTACGTACGTACGTGCTTACTTTTGTGCAGCTACCTTGACACGGAGAGCGACCACAAATTCACAATAACTTAAAATGATTTCTTCCATTACCAGCAGCTAGCAAGCCAGGTGGTGGCTTGGGTTGCTCTTGGAGTCCGGCCGGCGGCGACCGATCACTTCTTCTCTGGCTCCTCGGCGGCAGGTGCGGCGGCTTCGACGGGTTTCTCCTCTTTCTTCTCCTCCACTACCTCAGCGGGGGCGGCTGCCTCCGCCGGCGCGGCAGCTTCTGCCGGTGCGGCAGAGGGCTCGGCCTCCTCCTTCTTCTCCTCCTCCACGGCAACCTCGCGGGTGGTGGTCTCCTCTGCCGGGGCGGCGGCGGCGACCTCGGGCTCGACCTTGGGCTCCTCCTTGGGCGCGGGCACGAAAGGCGCAACCTTGTCCAAGATGAAGACGATGGCGGGGGAGAGGGGAGTGGTGCCGGACTTGGCCACCGCGTCGCTCACCAGCTTGGCTCCAGGGAAATCTGCATATTAACCAACACTGATTAGCTCGATAGTTTCATTAGCCTATGTCAGTTAGATATATAATTGATTTGATTAACTAATGATCAAGAGTGTTCTTTATTCTAGAACGCACAAGACTCAGCAGTATGCCCGAGAGTTGAGTGTACCTGTGGCAACAATGAAAAATTGTGCAGCTTAATTAATTACTGTTAATTTGTTCATCTTTTGTTAATTGCACATGTTATGGTTTTGTCTGCATCGCCTAAAAGCAACGGTACTGTTTGCATGGGAACTTCTGTTGGAAGAAACATATGTGAGAAGATTCCATTGCTTTGTCTTCTTTTTGTTCTAAGAAGATACCTCTAAATTAAAGTTTAGTTATGTGAAAGCAGGATAATGAAAGGTTATTTTGTTCAAAAGGCAAGGAATAAAGGTTATTTAAAATATGGACCCTAAGAAATTACCCGATAAGATTGCTAAAAGTAATTCCATTTATGTATTTAATCCTTTTATTTTTTTCACAATATTTTTTTGCAAAATTTAAGTAACAAAAAAACATTACCAATCTTGGCCAAATCGTCAAGGAACTTGGTGACGGCAACTGAGTTCTTCCTGATCTTGGATGTTTTCTTATCCTTTATCAAGCCCTACAACAAGATAACAGTATGGTTAGCACTAATTAAGGTGGCTACTCCCTACTGTTATGTGCTAAGCAACCATACAAAACCAATACTAATTAGGTACCGAAACAAAAATCATTTCACCTTAATTTCTGGAGGAGATGCTTCAATGGTCTCCACAACCTTGGGCTCTAGTTCTGTCTTCTTGTCCTCAATCTCCTTGTCAATCTCCTCCTACACACATAGAGCACGCCCACACAATCAACAAGCAAACAAAACACATGTAGACATCGTCATCTACCATTTCAAAATTTCGTAACGCACAAATTTCACAAGAAACTTGCAAGAACCCGGAGCTCGGCGTACCTTGTTGAAGGATTTCAAGAACTCGGCGGCGGCGGCCTTCTTGCCATCCTTGTCGAAGATCTTGTTGAGCCCGGGGAGAACCTTGGTCTTCCACACGCTCGTCATCTTCCTCTCCTTCAAAGACGACGCCTACTCCAACACAAGAACACAATTATAAAACTCCATGAGATGTTTTCTCATCGGAAGGAGAAGCCAAGGAGACGGCAAGGGGAGCTAGAAGGAACGGAAACTTACGTGGAGCAAGCGAGGTAGCTGGGGGCGGAAGAGATGGATGCGTAGGAACTTCCTCTGGACAGCAGTGATCACCAGCCTATCAATGGGCAGCAGTACATGAGCCACGGTGCCATGAGAGCGATATATAATGGGCTGGCCAGATAGGCCGCCCTGGCCTGGCCTGGCCCTGCGGGAAATTACGTGGGTGCCCCCGGGTTGGGTGGCGCGGGTTGCTGGAGGGGGGCAGGGGCATGGACGTCAAATGAGGAGAAGGTTATGGAAGGGGTGTCATTAAGCCAGAGCAGCCAGAAAATGATGAATGGGTCGTGGAGGCTTGCAAGCTGCGCTGGAGGGGTACAGGCTGCAGGCTACAGCGACTGTAGGACATGTTGTTGGGATCGTCTGTGCTATGACTTTGGTAATCTGATTAATTGTCCTGCAAGTTGCACAAATGATTTGAGACGGTTAATAGTTCACCTTTTTATATATAAATGGATGCGAGATGTGTCAAGAATTAAAAATTCCTCCCGGCAAAAACTTGCTGTATTTTGAGAATTATGTACCTCATTTTATTTTTTGTTGTGAAATGGATACACGCAAAAAAAGTTGTGAAATAGAATCTTAAATATTTAGCTTCTATTTTCACCTAAAAATTTCGCAAAATGAAATTTACCTATGCATGTTGGAGTACAAATATATAGTTGTTCTATTCCAACACGTTAGACACTTAGACCATCTACAACAATGTATAAATCTTACCCGCTATATGTTTGCGGATGCATCCCAGATAGCTCCCCTCAAATGTTTGCCGTGCAATCACATCCCTCACTTTCAAAATCTCAAATACATGCAACCACATACACGTCGATCATTTGATGATACGAATACACGTAACAAACTGCGCTCAAATAAATTTTATTCGTAAAAAAATACATCGTAAAAAAATAAAATTTATTGGGAATGCATAATTCAAACATAAAATTCAATAATTTTTTCTCTAGATCAACATATGCTTCACAAGGTCATTGAGTAGTTATACATGCACCCGTTGATCTCGAAGCCGCCAAGGCATCTCTAGAAAGTTCACAATATGCTCTACATCTTGTTCCAGGAGGTAGACATGTACTATGGGCTTCTCAAAATCATGCGCATGAGTTGCCCCTTCGCCCGCATCCTCCGCAATCATGTTGTGCAAGATTACACAACATGTCATCGACTGCGACAATGTCTTTGATTTCCATATCATTGCAGCTCCACGAACAATACCCCAACGAGCTTGGAGCACTTTGACTGCCCTTTCCACATACATCCTACCACCTTTCTGAATTTGTTACATTGTTTGTTACGTCGAGCCTCGGATATAGCCCTTACAAACGCCAGCCACTAAGGATAGATACTGTCGTTAATGTGGTACCCTATGTTATAGTGGGTCCCATTGATGGTGTGGTTGCATGCCAGAGCATCTCCGTCACGTAGTCTATTGCACAACGGAGGTCGCTGGAGCACATTGATGTCACTATGAGAACATACAAGCTAAAAAAACATGCCAAATCCACAAATCCTTTGATTCCACTACTTCCAGTATGATGGTGGTCTCTTTGGTGTGAACTTGGTACTGCCTGCGCAAACCTTCCGGACAGTTATTCCGTTGTTCATGCATGCAATTAACTGAACGAAGCATACCCGGGAAACCTCTTGATGCTCCAATTACCAATAACTTCTATGTGACCTCGATAGTTGGTTCTCTTGGGTACCCCGGCCAAAACACCTTCACCACGATGCAAACAAATTTCACCATGGTCTAAAGGCATGTGCTCTCACTAATCTGGCCAATCTCACCAATGGCCTCTGTAGCTTTACCATATGCAAGCATCCTCAGAGCAACCATGTATTTCTACCTAGGAGAGAACAACAGTTTTCCGCAATAATCCTTCCTCGGTTTGAAGTAAGGGGCATATTCCTCCATAGCATTCATTAAGCGCAAAAACAAAGGTTTACTCATCTAGAAGCGACACCGAAAAACCCTCATGGTATGTTGGAATTGGTTTGACGTAGTCCTTATAGAGAGTCATGCACCAACAATTAATTCTATCCCGAGGAGCAAATCTCCTGACCTTTATTGAACCCTTGAAACTCAGCACATGATCCACTTGCCTCTCCATTTCTTCCCGATACTTATCGTGAACATCATTTCAACATCTTCATCGTGTGAATCTGATGAATGTACGCACTCTTTGTATATGAATTCATCAAGCTCCTTATTCTAAGAGCCATCATCCGACAAATCTATCACTTGCCTACAAATGAGCAAAACAATATCAAAAAATAGCTTGAACATTTCGTTGAACACATAGAGGGCGAGTTGTATGTCCAGAGGAGTAGGACATACCAAGGCGACGCGTGGTGGTGGCGAACATGTATGGTGATGGCAAGGACGACCAGGAGGGGTTTCGGGCCGGTAGTGGTAGGCGCGGTGGGTTGGGGAGGGCGATAGAGATAGGGTGGCAGTGGAACTAGGGAATGGGTGATGCTGACGGGGCAGAAGAGAGGAGATGAAGAGGGCTGGTTGAGCTAGGGTTGGGGATGATTTGGGATGGCCCCGACTTGCTGGATCTGATGTGGCGGTCGCATCTGGGAGTCTCAATATCTCCCCGCATATGGGATGGGTTTGAGGGGTGCCCGAAAACCGGATGTTTGGCCTGGCTTTGGGGGGTTCGGTTGGATGGCGTTTATCGGTCCGGGCTTTCTACCCGGACGTTTGAGGGGGAGTGGGGTGTTCAGTTGTAGATGCTCTCACTATAATATCTTGATAGTGCTAGTCTATGTTAAGCCATCAAAACATGAAATACTTACAACCAACAAGTTAGAGGGAAATTGGGAACATTTCAATAATTTATCCCCTCTTCCAGTATGTAGGGCGTAGATTTCACTAAGAAAATAGGTTGACAGAAAAAATGTTTCGCTAATATTTGGTTTATATGACATAATTAAGAACTTTTTCTCGATGGCACGAAAGGGGACAGGGAGTTTGTGCAGTTCATTATAGAAGAATAGAATTGCTCGGTTAACACAAACCACACTACAATCACATTCACCAACATCCATCATCATAGTATATTCCCTCCACATCAACTATACCCTCTATCGGGAGAAACAAATCTGGCAAAGCCCCGTAAGGCTACTAAAGGAGCACATAAGATGCCTTACCAAAGCACCAGACTATAACACTAGAAGCACCTCTGCCAGAAAAAGGAGAGAGAAGTCAAAACTATTACTTGAGGAGCAGGATTGCCACCCCCCGACTTCGGCATATGTAAAACGCGTATCAAGACCCCTGCGACATTCACTAGTTATGAAGCTCCGAAGACCAGCATAACTGGGGGATGACGCTCTGGAGTCTCAAAGACCTACCACACCATTTCGAGACAGCCTTCACCCCTTTCGAGGCGCCACCTTGACTTCATACATTGCTCGCTCAAGCAAGATCGACACCCCCTAAATCAGAGGACATCTGTTACTTCACGCATCAGACCGAGGTGAGGTGCGTCCAGAAATGTAGCGACCCAACCTCAAACGGTCAAGTCTCTGTGCTTCAGTGTAATCCCTGGATCGGTAATGCTGACACACACAGTACTCGAGGATTTATAATAGAGTAGCAATCACACACTTATTACATCGAATGTCTCCAAAGAGAACTTATTACAATAAATATGGCTTAAGGCCATCTAATACGATAACAGCGGAAGGCTTGGAAGATAAAGTGAGTCCATCAACTCCAACGACATAGCTGAGCTGCACGGCAACGACCTAACGAACCTTACTCCTCATCTGAAAAGTCTACAACATAATACGTTGCAGCACGAAAATGGGTCAGCACATGGAATATGCTGGCAAAGTAACACAGTAGAGCAAGAACAGAATAATGCTATCACTACATGCATATTTGGCTGGTGGAAAGCTATATGGTTACAATTTTTTTTACGAAAAGCCAATTTTCCCTACAACAAAGGAATAGATTTTAATTTAACTATCATGGTAGTTGAAACATCATTGAGAAGGTTCCTCCAACTCAATCCCAATTAAGGTAATTAACAACCCAACAATATTAATTTAGAGTGATGAGATACTTAAGATACTCCAAGTACTAGATACTCAAGATTGTCCATAACCGGGGACACGGCTAACCATGATTAGTTTGTACACTCTTCAGATGTTTGCGCACTTTTCCACACAAGACTCGATCGCCTCCGTTGGATTTCTCGCACTACATGGTGTTTGAGAAATGGATGACCGAGACACAGTCTTTCAGAAACATTAACTCTCTACTCCGGGCAGACCATACCAAACCTACAATCCCACTACCTGCTGATCCACCTCCTCAAGAGCTTCATGTAACTTACTCAACTATGCTAGAGCCCATATTAGCTTGTGGCTGCACATGGAAGTTTCTAGCATGAATAATCTCAGTTCCCTTTGATCCTGGATGGCGGTCCATAGGAAGATCACACGGGTACTCCGGGATTTCTAAAAAAATACAGGCAACACTGGGTACTCCAGGTGCCTCAATCCACCCAGATGTGTATTTAAGTTGCCACCTTAAGTTGAACCATTAATTAACAATCTCACATCTGTCATGGATTTCACTCTGCCAAACCTCGTCTATGAGCATAGCATAGCAATATAAGCAATTCGTAAGAGTAACTCCCAAGGGTTTGAATGTAACAGGGTAATAGGTTCTACCTCATCAACTACTTCCCAACCCACATGTTAATGACATCCTAACCATGCAATGTTTGAGGATTGGAACTAATGCATAAAAACTGGGTGATAAAGGGGTATGATCAAAGTGTTACTTGCCTTGCTGACGATCCGCGTAACCTAGAGACTCCAAA